CCTACTTTTGGTGGTACATATCCGTTATATATGGATTATCCTGAACGATTGCGTTATTCGTTCGGTGTTCTTCCCCGTTACAGTATGATTATGGGTGGTAAATAAAAATAAATATAAAATTTTTATATCATATTTACTACCTATAATCATGTTCTTATTGTTCAGTTGGTGAAAGTCAACATGATAAAGAGACATTTGCTATCAAGTACCTCCTATTCAAACATATATAATTGGAGATGTTTCTAGATCTACTGTATATGGCAAGGGAAGTTAACTGTATAAAAAAAAATTTGATTAAAGAAGCCCTCCTAGATCTACTGTCTAAAGTCGTTATAAGTAATGAATGTTGGGATCTATTGGGTTCTTTGGTCGTGGAGGGGGTGAATTTTGTGTATGCATATAAGTTTCGCTTTACTTTTAATGATTTTCTTCCATCGGTCATTTACTCTTAAGCCATCGCATCCATAAGAAATATTTGTGTATTCGGTGTCTTGTAGCGATTGATCTATGCAGGAAAATAAATGGTTTCATGAAGCAATCCATCCTCGGAGCTTAATGGGATCAAAAATCTTTATAAGCAAATTTTTTAAAAAAGTTTAATAGCTACGATCTGTACGTAAGGTGAAAAGTTTGTAGTCTTGGTGTTGACAAAGACATAGCAATTTGTAAACCCATATATTCTCATGAACGCAAATTATTGCAATTTAAAGATATGTTTGATTTTAGTCTTGCTATACCGACTTGGAAAACGAGTTTGTGACAGAATATATATAATGATGAGGTGGTATAGAACCMCTTGAGTTTATGTTGATCTCAGATTACGAAAATGTTATAAATGTTAAGGTTGATTTTGATTAGCAAACTAATCTAAATTGCTTTGCTCTTTCTCAGTTCTAGATTGTTAGTATGCAACAAGCTATGTATATGTTTAAATTTTTATTTCCACTTCATGGGACTTCGACCACTTTTTATATTTTTTGAAAAAAAAATTCTCATATTTTAATCTAACAATTTGGGTCACAAAGTTATGCATCTCATTTTTAAGAACCTCCAAAAAAAAATTAGGGTTTAAATGATGAAGTCAAAACCACTCAGTGAATGATTGCAAATCGATTAACTAAATATACAGAGTATGACGCGCAAACCATGTTATAAAACCACTTCATTATCACTAAATGAATCCATCTTATTATCCAAAGTTTTGTTCTTTTAAGAACCAAAGATCTAATTATGCATCTCATTTTTATTGGGTAATCGATTTGAACTAACAGAAATAATATTGACCAACTAAAGTTAACCAAACTATCCAAAATTAATCAAATTTTCACTAAAAACCAAACTGAGTTAACACTTCGATTTAACTCGACAACATTGCATCCTAACCAAATTGAACCATAATTTTATTCGGTTAGTTTCGATAGAATAATTTTAACCCCAAAAAAATCATAGAACCGCTGAACTGAGCCGCATTAACTAACAATCTAAACTTTTTTGGGTAAATTTTTGTATTTTAATTTTAGGTTCTGAATACCATGTCACTCCGCCTAGAGTTATAAATGATAATCACGTTGGAAAAAAATGTATTTTATCCATAAGATGTTTGTTT